TCGAGTCTTCCGTGGACCTGGGATCCGCCTGAACCACTTTGGGAATCACTGATTTAGAGTTTCGACGTGAACGCAGTGTTACTGATCCATATTTTGAGATAAAATTAACTTACCTATTTTAGAGAAAAAGTGTATTTTCAATATCCGTGAATCACCAAAACAAAAAGTACTACGTTCCGAATGCATTCCGTAAAGTAATTCCGGCTGCCGAATTTTCACAAACTGCAGTGACAACCGAAAATTCACCTGACGAGTATCAAATAGCGAAAAATTAAGACGCTCCGACGCTGAGGACCTTAATGCACCTGATTTTAGAGTAAGTCGACCTATCTCGGCAACCAGTTCGAAAACGCCCTATCTAAAAAAAAATTTCAAGTGCGCCCTATTTCAGTTGCCGATTCAAAAACGCTCTATATCAGCATGTTTTCAATACATTTTGAAGTGAGATAGGAGGCTTTTGAACCAAATTCTGAGATGGGGCGTTCTTCAACCAAATTCTGAAATAGAGTGTTTTTCAATAAATACTTCAATACTCCAAGAGCCGCCTCATCGGATGTTGTCATACATTAGATAACCTGATCTTGAGATTCGCCCGAAAAAAAATTCACCCGAAAATTTTGTATCTGACCATATTAAATACATGGAAACCAAAAGTGAAAAGTGAAACTCGTGATAAGGTTATGAAACATTGGCTCACGCAACCGCAATTTACAAAGATTGGCGATTACCAGAGCACATCAAAATCGTCAGAAACGCGCCCATGTTAATCAACAGCTTTGAGTGCTTGCGTCTGGAATTCATGGTCCTTAACAACTGAAATAAATGCGGAATCCCGATCTGCACCATACAGTCAGAAGAAAAATGTCCAATTACTTCGACATGCCGCACCGTTGTATATATCGGAAATGGCAATGGAAGATATGCCTTCTGACGACCCAAAAACCATAATCAGAGCAGATAAATGTGCGGCAGGAGGTTGGTTAAAGTATTGTATAAATGTTGGGCGAGACGAAGTTCACCCGCTACTCTAGTAGTTATTTAATATTCATAAATAAGATTTTCGAATTTTCGAAAGGGATAAACAGGGTGTTTTTCAGAGGAGAATGGGATTTTCGGTTATTTGGAGCTGGCAATACTGGCACGTAGAACCGGATGTCGTGGCAATGATATCAATTTTACAGCCCTTTTTCCACGCCCATGACAAAACCCAACGGCTGACTATTGTCTTTACTACTGCGCCTAATACTATGCCGCAAACTTATTTTAAGCGCTCAAATGGTGAACATTGTCATTGCTATTGTAATGATCTACTGAGTACGCGACAACGGCGAAACAATGGCCCCTAGTCATAGTCAAAATAAAGTCGACTTTAAAGTTAGTTGCAGCTTTTTGGACAGATATCCCATTGAAAATTATGTCAAAAAGCTGCNAGTGTTTTAGGCGCAGTAATTGTGACAATAGTCATACGAGGAATTTTGTCAATGATTTGGGAATAGCGCGGTTAGTCACTGTGACGGGTGAGACAAGTACGCAAACCAAATTAGCTACTACTTACTTGTATCACAGTTTTTCAGCTAATTATTTATTCTGCTTATGGTTTTAAAAGGTTCATTGTATGGACAGCTATGACTAGACTTTGTTATTTATTTACTCTTACTTACTAGAAAAAATACACTCAAAGTTTATTTTCATTTCGTTCGGTATCGATTACTGTGGAATGACAAATAAAAAACCGTCATAAGCAAGAAACAGAAAAATGCGTTACTACCCAATAAACACTAAAAAAATATTTCTCCAACCTTGGAGAAATTCATAGTTCTCAAGTTGATATCCAACATTAATCTCCAACTCATCCCCTGCAGTGAAAACCCAAACCAGTTAGAAAAAATACTAGTTCATAAACTAGTATGTGCCTACCAGTTCGACATTTTCGAAGAACTTAAGCGTTCAGCGACATCTGCCTTTGAATTGCCAAAGCCTAAAATAAAGCGCAATTGATTGCTTTTCTTACAAATGTCGGCTGTGGCGTCACGTGAAGACTACTGGTTCTGGTTCTGGTTCTGGGATCGCAGGTTCGAGGCCGCTTGGAGGTGGTTAAGATTTTTAAAGTTAGGAATAATTATTTGAATTTAAATATAAATAACAAACTTAAAAATCTAGTTGCATTACAAAAACAAAGAAACAAATATATGGGAAGAAATTAAATTTAAGAATAACAAAAAAAACCTAAATAAAAAATATAAATAAAAGAAATATTATAAAAAAAAAATAAAATAAAAATTTTCCCTGCGCCCGGGCTTGAACCTGGTACCTCAGGCATACCACGCGAGTGCTTTGCTCTGTCGGCTATTGCGACTGTTGGAGCACCGCGAGCAAAAAGGCATACTAATTCTTTTCATAGGGGATGAATTGGCAGACTATCTCGTCAACTGGTATGATGCTACTAGTATTTCTACTAGTAGATGCTGATGCATAGCCTGACAATTGACATCTCGTAGGACATCGCAATGTTAAAAATACCAGTCGCTAACATTGAAAAAGGATAGAACGTGAACTAGTTGGGCTGAAACGCAAACTGGTAGAATTCTAGTTCACAACTAGTAGCTTTCCCTGCAGGGTCTCTAACCGACGCGCAGATACGTAAAAAGTGATAGAGAAACGAATTTTTAATTATCAAGTGAAAAACTAATGGCCTTATTCATAAAAAATAAATTGGCTTTAAAAAACGTTTATAAACTGAAAAATTTATGAAAACGTCACTTTATAAAGCTCTTTGAACCTACTTTATTTTTTATGAATAAGGCCACAAAGCTATATAAAGAGGAAAATTACCAACAAAAAGTAAATAATCTTCAAAATATCCTCAAATAATCTTGAAAGAAAATAAAACGCCAAGTGAATCAAGTGGCAAAATTACTGTCGGACTGTGTACTGTGAAGTGAATTACTGTAATACGAAAACGAGTAATAAAATGAAAAATTAATATTTAAATTCATCTATATATGTCGTTTCAATCAAAAAGGTATAAGGTATTTTACTATTTCAATTTCAGTATTTCAATAATATGTTTGATACCAATTGGAGAATTACATTGGACTTCAAGCTGAGAACTAGCATTTTCTCAACTTGAGAAACAGTCCTTTTACAATACAAAGAAAAATGCCCTTTTTGTTGAGAACGCTATGATCCTCCACTTGAGGTACTGTTGAGAAACAACGTTGGAGATTTGAGAAATACCTTAGTTCTCAACTTAACCTCAAGTTGAGCTCAAACCTAAATGTTTATTGGGTAGACTCAGTAGCTAACAGTCAGTAGCCAGTTGCATTCGTAATGGGAATCTTAGTATATGGTTCCCGATCGGCTATCAGTCGCCACACATAATAGGGCCATCAACCATTGCCAATTTGAATTCAAAGCGAATTTGATTGAATTTCACTCGTACGTGGATTGCAGAACCTGCCTGATTGTTGCAAGTTCTGCAATTCACTTCCGAGTCATTTTCAACCCGATTAAATTTAAATTCAAAGTGACTTTGGGGAGGTTTATTTATATAGGATGTAGGAGCACACCTTAAGATATGTATAATATAAACAAGCAATTTAAATTTTTATTTTTGATTTTTATTACTTTTGCTTTCTTGAATTTTAATTTATTTTGGTGCTACTGCTTTTTTAAACACTTAACTCATGGAAATGTTTTATAAAATAATTATAACATTATTTATGCATGTACATGGGTATTATATTTGTATGCATACGTGTTTGTATGTGTGTTTAAATAATAAATGCGTTAATAGCAATAAGTGTCTTACCACTGCAACAATTTTGCTTTTGATTTTTTCTTCATTATAAACACATAGTACACACATGCAGAAGTTTTTCTTATGCAGTACATGTATGTATGTATGTACATACATACATATTACCTGCAAACTGTCTTATGAAATACTACAATTTATGTATATACAAGTCTGATTTTCTGTTGTTGTATTATAGATTATTATTATTTTTTGAATGTATTTTTCTTTAATATTTGGATAACACGCAGTTAAGTGCAAGTATAATGATAATATTTTCGAAATGGGACCTTTTTTACTGTTGTCGAAACTTGTCTTGGGAAAAGTATAGAAAAAAGCAACGATTAAGTTCAAACAAAAAACTGACAAGAAAATAACATGAATCGTTTACAAAATTTAGTGTTTTAAAAGTTTTGGGAACAATAAATTTTGAAAGCGATTTCTCAAGTGCATTTACTAGTCAGTTAAGTTTTGCTTTTTGTGTAAGAGCGAAGTGCGAAAATACATTTTTTTTTTGGTTTTACTAAACCAAGCTTCGAATGTTTAAGACCCCAACTTTTTTAACGGTATTTGTACATTTGTGGTATTAAGCTTTTTATTATATGTATGTATGTATAATTATTTATTTTTGTTAATGGCTAATATTTTAATACATGTAATATTTTTTCAAGTCGTGGAATTTTTACAAAACTAAATCGAAACTTAAAACATAAAAATGTATATGAAAACAAAAAGTATGAAATCGAAAACAGGGTTACTATCAATAAGAACGTTAACTAAAATTAAGCGATTTCACAAATATGTATGTATGTATATGTTTATAAGTATAATATATATGTACAAATATGCATGTTTCTTTATGTTTATGATGATAGTGACATTCGTCTACTGCGCCGCTAAATAAATTAATATTATAGTGTTAAGAGTAATAGTACAAATTGTTTACAAATTAGTTAATTGTGAAAAAAGTTAATATTTACCTTTTCGTTATGTTTAGAACTAAATTTTTTAATAGATACATTAATCGGTAAGTGTTCGTAGCATTATCACGTGCACAAAATATTAGCATTATATGAAAAAAAAAAATATGTCAATAAACAAAAAACACAAAAATGAACGGGTAAACTAATAATATGCGAATTACAAAAAAAATAGTAATAAATATTTTCTATCCTGTAGACAAAAAGGAAGTCAATACCAAACATATTAATCATTTCTCTTTGTACAATTCTTACGAAACCAATCATGTTTAGCGGCCATGCAAATCGCGCGTAAAATAGTAGTAAATAGTGAGAAAGAATACTCTTTCGAAATCACAAAAATTATAAAAAAAAAAATAACCGGGATTTGAAATTTAAATGAAAAAAGAACATTCTAGCAGCGCCGCGCATGAACTACATAAAATAAAATAATTTATAAGAAAACTCTTCTTTCGGAGTATAGCTCGGATGCATAAATAAAATGGACTAAAAGAAAATCGGTTGCTTATATCAAACTTTAAAGCATAATTACGATAAATTTTCGTTTCAAATAGTTAATACTCAAATACTAAAAATAAAGGAAACTAAACTCTTGCATAACTATGCACGAAATCGATTTGCTTTTCCTATCTCAGCCTCAGGCTCTCTAAAGCACAACGAGCTGTGGCTTTTGTGTAGCTCTAAGCTGCCTCACAGCGTACATAACTTTTTTTTTTTTTTTAAATATAATGGTGGGTGCATTCTTGGAACTTAATAATTATAGTTAGTTAATTTTCGATATAAACAGCAGGGTTCGTTTCAACACTTGGGGTTTCCTTCAGATTTTTGTTTGTTTAAAAACGAAATTCTAACATTTCAATTTATGAGTTTAGTTGTTGTTTATTTACAAATAGTGGTGCACACTTTTCAGCGACTCGACGACAAGTCCCTTGGTTCAAACTGTGCTCGTATGTCTATGTAAAAGTATGCTCATCAGTGGAAGAGTGAGCTGGAAGTGCAGAAGTAAGTTTATTTCAGGCCAACGGTCTACATCTGTAGCAGCACACATTTCAACACTCTCTACAGCGGGCACTGTCATTTTCCAAACGCGCAAGCATTGCGTTAACATTTGTCGCTTCCAATATTCGCATTCGCTGACTTTTCTCCTTTGGGTCTACCAATGTCACCTTTTCACTTGTAAACCGGCGAAAGGTCGAGCGTAAGATTTTGCAAAGCACGATTGCGCGCTGAGGAGCGTGTTTGCTTGGAGGAGCGTGTAATTTCCATAACGAGTCCCTTGCAGTCATTGCAAACGGTGACTAGCTCACCGCGCATATTCTCCTTTTGCTCCTGACTTAGTTGGCTGCCGGAAGAGGATAGCGTGAAGGCGCGCGAAAATTTGGTTCTGCAAAAAAAAAAAAAATGGAAATAGAATAATGTCAAAATTTGTTCGGCACACACAATGGACGGGGCATGTCGAGTAATAACTTACTTCCGATCTAAGGTGCTGCTGTTTGAATGCGCGCGTGCAGGGCTATTCGCCGGCAAACTACGCGGCCCCTCCATGCTGCGTGACATAATGTTAATATGCTTATTGGTGCTGGCGTGCATATTGCCATGGCCGCCATTTGATATATTGCTGTTGTAAGAAGACGTCATCACAGAAGCATCGTCAGCCTCAACGGCTTGTCCGGTCACACAGGTGCCACCCGTTCGGGTGGTGGTCACAATGTGGGTTGTGCCGGGTGTACTCATATTAGATCTTTGGTGTTTGGGCGATGACGGAGCGCTACCCACCGTGTTGCGAGTCTGAAATTAATTAAATAAAATTCAAAACAAGTTCCAGAAAAATAAATAAATATAAACAACTTAAAAGCTTACTAATGTATGTAATATGTATTTTTTGATACCATTACGAATATCGATATCGTTAATGTTATCGATAGATTGATTTCGATAAATGAGTAAACAAATTCTATAAATATATTATATCGTTATCGTTAATGTTATCGATAAATTTTCATATATCTTTTTATATATTGTTATCGATATACATATATAATTTTCCTGATTTGTTCATAGCTAAAATCTCGATCAGTATTGTTATCGATATGTACTAAGTATGTATATTTCAACGCAATTTTTGATGCATTTACAAATATATTTTTCGATATTTGTTGATTGTTTACATATTTATCGATTTATTTATACATACATATATATCGATATCAATATCAATTACAACCGACAAATGTGTTCATATCGCATCATTCATCATCGCACATTTAAGTACTAAATCTTCGCCACTTACCTTGCGCTCTGACTCGGAACGTAACAAACGCTCAATTAACGATTTGGGAAACGTCTCGTCCAATATGTTACCTGTCGAGGATGAGTGCGTGTGGTGGGCGTGATGTGATGGTGATGGCGTGCTGGAGCCAGCCGGACTGGCGAGCAGTGATGGTGAAATCAGCACCAGCGGTACATTGCGGAAGTGCTCCGTTGGTATTCTCATCTAAAAGTGATGACATTGAAAATCGAAACATATACGCAATACTTTTTTAACGTAAATACCTTGGTGTAGCATTTGGAGCAGACAGTGCGCTGACACAATTTGCATTGTATGCCCCACGGTCCAAAAATAGAGAAACGTGTACGCAGGCATAGGAAGCAGACTTTGCGCTTTTCGACATCCTCCTTGACACGCACACCCACAGGCAGTCCTTCTAATTCTGCCTTCGTCATTACCGAACGTATGTGTACTATCTCCTCCAGTGTCAACGAGAGGCGATCGTCACCGCGTTCGAGCCAGGTTTGCTCATCCAGAAAGGACTTGCTCCATGGGCCAACCGAGGATGACGAACGGCTACAATTGCTGCTCTCACCGCTGCATACACTGGCACTCATGCTCTGAGCGGCTGTGTTGGGGCTTTGAGAACGTTTCAATTGCTGTTGTTGTTTGTTTTGATTATAGTTGTTGTGTAGCTGAAAAGGCATCCGGAAGTTTGCACAAACAATAGCTAATGAAAGGCCGAATTAAACAAAGTCCGAGCTAACGACTTACCTGTTTAGTTGTGCCTGTAACCGCCGCTTCAGCACAGCCACCTGGTCCAACAACAGAACTCACTTCTGACTGTCGCGATGCGGGTCTCGATGGCGGCATCGAGTGAGTCTCATCGAAATTGCTCTGACAGCCGACAATGGTATGGCGGCGTAGAGAGGCGCGTCGTGATTCGCATTGGGTGGCGAGGTCATAAGCTGGCGAAAACAAAAGAAGAAAGGATTCATTTCGATTATTGGCACGTAAAGGGATAGGAAGAGGGTGCTCGTGTGGGTGCATATAAAAGTGTGTTGAAAATGTACATACTACATATGTATGTATTTATGTAAATGCAAAAGCTATGCAAAATGTACGAATGTATAATGAAAAACTAGCTACATAGAATTAAATGCGAATATCTACAAAGATCTTTATAATATTTATGAAAGGCGAAAACATGCATTTGACCAAATTGGATACGTGTGAATGTGTTTCAGGACAACGGAAGAGATGATGATAAGGACATGGAGTTGTGTATGTATGTATACATATATTTATACACCTATGTAGCTACAAAATTGGGTTCTGTTTATAATTAAAGAAAGTTAGGGGGACATATGTATTTATTTGTGTATTTATTTATTTCAGGGACCGAGAACATAAAGTATGATCGAAACTAATTGTCGTTCTCGTACTTTTGTTCCCAAGAACGCTTTAAAAACAAAACTAAAATGAGAATGAAACTGCCGAGAACGTTCTCAATGGGAATTATAAAAGAACAAATCCCTGTGGAACGTTCCAAAAGAGAACAAAATGCAAACAATACTTTTGGGTGCATTTCTAAGAGAACATGGAACCAAAAGTCTCCGGAACGTTTTGGAAAGGAACAAATCGGGAACAGAAGTCTAAGGAACTTTCTCTCGAAGAAAAATTTGGAAACTAAAGTCTCAGAAACTTTCTGACAGAGAGCGAAACGGGAACAAATCTTCTCTGGACTATGCGCAAGGAAAAGAGGCGGAGAATTAAATTTTTCTCAGCGTTTCATTATTGAAATGTTTGAATATTAAAATTAATCAAAAAAGAAGTGAAACATAATTAGGCAAATTAAGTCAACGAAAGACTTAAGAAACGAACTTTTCTTGCACAGAAAATTAAAAATTGTTCCATAAATGGACAATTTCCCCTAACGATCTGGAAGTTGATATGATCCAGCTTTACTTTGACTTAAAATTAAAAATCGTGGTTCTCACAGGAACGTTTTTTCATCCCAACATGCAGATGCTCCTCTCATTCTTAACGTAAAGTTCTCAAAACTTTTGTTCTCGTCTTCTTCTTTAGTAGATCTGCTTGACCTGGAAAAGTTCAAAAATTCTTCAACAATATAATTTTTGAATAATGGAAGTTAAATGAAGCCAATATGTGGTTTTTCCAAACTGGTTTCAATCGGTTTTTTGAATATATGTATTTAGGCGTTTTTTTTTTGAAATCTTGATTTTTTTCAATCGAATAAACCGGCTTTTCACCTAATTACTAATATGCCAGAATCTAAACTTCCAAAATATTTATTTTATTGAAAGTGAAACGAGAACACTTTTATTAATTTTATGTCTGAAAATTGGAAAATTTTCTATTGCCGAAAATTACTTAAAAAATAAAAGGAAAACTGAACGAAATTGCTTCACAATTTTTGGTTTGTTGTGACAGCTAACTGAACTCTGTATAAATCCATTAATCGAGTAGGTACATGCTGTCTTCATTCTCACATAAGGGAAAGCTGAGGAAAAGGGAAGATCCAATGGTTTGGGCATATGTACATATACTCGAAAACCGCTTTTCGAAAAAATGCAAATAATTGAACACCCTAGAACATATGTAGGTATGCAATGTCCCTGTGGGCTTCCTAGGACCTAGTACGCCAAGTGTTGAGTTTTCTTTCAATTCAGGTCAACAAATTGTACGCTTAATAAAAACTTACACCAATATCCAAAATTTACACACATACAACGGAGAAATACTACATACAAGTACCAGTATAAATATGGAAAATAAACAGTGTAATCGAATGCGAAATGAATAGCGATAAAAGCAAACAACAATAACCCCAAATATTTAATATGCAAATGAGTTGGATTTAGTTCGTTTCCCTTTTCATTATCCTTAAGTATCAAATTAAACCAATCGGCGAGGTTGAGAAGGAAAGTGTGAAAATAAACAAACCTACCAATATCCCAGTGGGAAAAGTAGTAATGCATTACATGCGTGATAACTAATGTAATGTACTTCTTATAAGTTTTAGACTCTATTACCGCTTAATATGTAATCAGTATTCTAATGTATCCAAAAAGTCCCAAAAACTTCATGTTAAATCGCATTAATTTTTGCATTACTGATAATGCAAAAATGAATGCCCCACTTTTCTAAGGCGGAAAAATTCATTTTCGAATGTAAAAAGGGTTATTTTACTAATAACTTGTTCGATTACTATACATTACATTTTCCCACTGGGATACTATGCATTGACAAACACAAATGGATGTTATGTAGTATAAAGGTAAATGTGTAAATTATTGTAGCATTTTAGGCGCTTAACAGCAGTCGACTGACTTGGGGTAGAAAATGACGCATGAGTCATAATCGAATGCAAACGAAATGAATAAGAAACGCTGACATAGAGCCTGACTAGCAATAGAAAGCGCGTTGTTGGTTTTGAACAAAAATTTTGTAGTCAAAATACATAAAAATACCTATTACTTATGGACTTATAAACATATAAAGCAATGTACTATGCACTTATATATGTAGATATGTATTTAGAATATTTATGTAGTAAGTATATGTAAGAGTTATAATTTTTTTCGAAAATGTGTTTCCGAGTATTTGTTTAAGAAACGAATATGAATTTGAACGCAGTCGAGCGAAGATGAATGTACTTAGAGAAGATAGATAGAAATGTTAAGGAAAAAAACATTCATATTTACATTCCAGCGCGTTGTCGAAGAACCTATGGTACTCATCCTCAGTGTACGAGTCCTCTGCAAATACACATTTCGTAGCATAATTTATGGCGCATATACGGCAGCAAGTTGTGCGCAGGTTTTGCGTTTTATTTTACATAGAGCAAAAAATTTCCATTCAAGGAGTTTTTATGATTTTAATTTTGTTAAACAAATTTTTGTTTGCATTTAAAGCGAATTTGATTGCAAAGAGGAAAAATGATTTTTTAATTGACTTTTAGTTCTCTCAATAAATTAAATATATATCTCTGAAAAAATTGTGTTGTTTGTTAATTACATATATTATAAGTAGTCTATTTTTTTTTGTAATTTTATGGCCTCGAACAAAAAGGTAAATTTACTAAATTGAATTAACGAAAAAGGATCGCATGGACCTCAAACGTTGGCTGGGAAATTGTGAAGGAATTGATAAGTTCCCCAAAGCTTAGCATGCACAACTAAATTACAAACTTAAAGTTAATTTTACAAAGGTTCTTTATTTGCTTAAAACTTAAATAAAGTATAAAAATACTAATTCGAGTTTTTTCTGGGTATTTCTACTAACTAAAAGGAATTTTAATGAACGGCCGGCTCATTTAGCCGTGTACAGTTATCACTACATACATTTTGGTTTTAACTAGGGGTTAAGTAATTTTTACAAATTTTTTTTTTGGTTTTTCTTAGCGCAGGACCTTCACCGCATAATTTTTAAAAAATTTTAGTAAACTTATTTTAATTTTATTTTAACCGTTCAATTAAGCAAAAAATTAAAATGCTTTCATTGATTTTTCAAACATTGATTTTGTTCTTTGTGCTCTCAATAACATAAATAAGGGAGGTAAAAGTTAATTAAGGTATTCACTGCATTTTAGTTAATAAAAGAAACCAATCAAATACCTTTAAATGTACCAATAACGTAAAAACACAAAAAAAAAACATTTTTTCAAAAACGCATTAACGCAATTTGCGTATTTAATCCAATATAAACAAAATAATGTAGAAGGTGGAAGAAAAAGAAAAGTGGAAATTATAATAAAAAACCATTAGATAAAATTAAAATAAACCAAATCAATCTAAAATAATAAAAACTAAACCAAATCTAGTTATACGAGTGTCGAACAATCAGACAACAAATACATTGGTATTTTACAAAATACACAGCATCTATTAGAAAACCATTTATTGCATTGCAAATGTTGGGGCAATCGCCTAAAAGTATGCCTTGCAAAAGTGCACTTGTTTGTTACTGGCAACTTCTGGCATACTTTTAGGTGCTCATATTCGCACAACATTTATATTTAAGAAAATTTACTCCAATTAGAACTATATATTTTCAATCACACTAAAATTTTACCCGGTTCACCAAAACTTACTTGTTCGGCGTAGCACCCGCGTTGTCAGCGCTGACGGCAATTGTGTTGTGGCCGCATGGCTTTTCATATTTGGATTGGTCACACCACCACTGCTGGCGGCCGCACCATAACCGCTGCTCATTGTCATATAGCCGCCAATCGGATAGGGAGGCATTTGTGGCTGCGAGCAAACACCGACGTGCGCCGTGTTGCAGTTGCCATATCTGACAGTTGACGTTGGTTCATCAAAGAAATTGTCATCATCCTGTGACGGGAGAAGAACGGAAATTAATTATATGAATGTTCATAAGCATGAATACATATATGCATATGGTAGTTTTATTTATAGTATGTTTTTGTCTGGCGGTATTGTGTAGTGAACTGATAGGACATTCACCGTAGGATAATCAGTATTTCTTTTTTTTTTGTTGTTTAGCAGACATATTTTTTGTTTGGGCTGGGCGTTGTCAAGCGCTACACGGCATGTGAATTGGGAGTGGACGCCGCATATGTTCCAATATATACACGCAAAATGTTCCTTGTTCTTTGTGTACGAGTAAGCTAAACAACCACCTATAAAAGTGCCTTGAAGTTCAAACTGTGCGCGTAAAATTTGTGTCTATTCAAATACAGTCTATTCAAGTACAGTTCGAGTCATATTGGTAATTATGTTGAAAACAATAAACTAATGAGGTTTTGTGGTAATCTATTGCAGTCGATTCCTTGTCCGCAAGTTAGACTTCGGTCTAGTTTCCTTTGAGAAACGAACTCGCAAACTGCAAGTTAATAGGTTTATCTGTGGATTTTGGACCCATGCCCACGAAAACGCTAAGCTCAGTGGTTCATGATCAAAGAAACAAAAATCAAACTCAACTTTTTGTTATAGACAGAATATACGCCAAAACAATTACCCCTATTCTGGTTGTCGTATGTCGTTCACATCGACAGTCGTTCGTTGAATTTTGTCGTAAATAAAAATATTAACGACAGATTTTAACACGTTTTCAATACTTCTTCCTTTCGAAAGGATGATAGGAATACAATTTTGTAGTAGATTATGTCATTGGTTGCCTCATAACGCCAATGAAAATCTCAAATTTCGACAAACGACTGTCGATGCGACAATCGGAATAGGAGCGAATCTTGACGTGCGCTCCATCCGAGGAGCTTAAATCGACTCGGATTAAGTAATGTCCACATGCGCCTCTGTGCAAAAAGAAGGTGCGCCTGGTAATGCAGAGTAAGTTTGAAGTCCAAACCAAGAAATTTCGAAACCAACTCTCAATTCCTCTTAGTCAAGCAACTCTCCATTGCCTGGACATAAATGAGCAGTGGGATTCTATCTCCTAATCACTTCGCACCACTATGAAAGAACCAACCATCGAAGCAGAAATAGCTGCTGCAAAGAAATGTTTACTCAGCATACCAAGGCACCCTGCAATAAATTGCGAAACGGGCAACAATTGAGTGGTACCGGGAAAAGGACAGAAGATACGTATGTTAAAGAGGGAGAAGGGCGTGAGTGCAAAGAGCGAGAGAAAATTCAGAAAATAAGGTAGTATGTACTTATGTGCTTTCAAAGCAAGATCAAGTTTCTCCAAAAATTGTATATGTGGTAACATTCGTCCAGAATACACTTGAGATAAGAGAAAACACTTCCTGACGCTTTTGAACAGCTACACAGGTGGCGCGTTTGACGAAGAAGATGAACCGAGACCAATGTATAGGAAAGACTAATACATCTCTCATGCTCGGTCTCACCAATCAGTTTTAAAATTTTTTAAGGAAGTGTCACACGATTGGGAATTTGCCCTAAATTTGGTCCAAATTGTATCCAAATCATGTGAATGCACAAATATTTTTCTTTACCCCCATCACGAAAAACAATTTGTTAAAATTTTTCGATAGAAGTCAGCTGTATTTTACTAATCGTTGTGTCTATAAAACAATTTGTAGTCTAATTTTTTTTTTAAATTTCGTACCAATTATTATTAGATTGGCGCTTACACATTTGTTAGTGTTTGGCCGAGCTTCTCCTCCGCTTTGTGGTGTGCGCTTTAATGTTGTCACAGCGCAGGGACTTACAGTTTTACGCCGATAGCCCAATATAAAAAATAAAAAATGTACAAATCTGTACAAATATACCAATTGTGTGACCCTACCTTTAGACTGTTAAAACTGATTGGCGCAACCGGGCATCAATTTGACAAACACACGGTAGAAAACCACAATAAAGCAGCTGAAAGCCACAAAGCGCCTAGAGCGGACGGAATACCGGCTGAGCTGTTCAAAGCGGTAGTGAAGAGCTGGTTGGGCGCATGTACCAGCTGTTAAGCAAAATTTGATCTAACAAATTCATGCCCGAAGGTCGGAATCTCAGTATACTTTGCCGAATCGACAAGACGGAAGATCATGCTGTTTGCGCGATTTACCGCGGGATAAGCCTTATCACCATTGCATATAAGGCCCTATCGATGAGACTTTGTGAAAGAGTGAAGCTTTTGTGAATCAATTGATTGGGCCTTATCAGTCTGGGTACATACCTGGAAAATGATTACATTTTCACAGTACGGCAAACAATTTTAGACCCCCACAACGTTTTCGTTACTTTTGATAGTACGCAAACAAGCCGTTGAGTACAACTTTAAGCTTGGTCCAAATTGGAAAATAGTTCCCCGCGTCGTTCGGGACGAGATTTTAGACAATGCGACTCACTTTTGTTCGTCTACGCAGATCAGCGGTTTCAACATCAGGACAGTGAACGCATCATTACCCCGCTTAAAGTAGGAGGCAAAAAAGGTTGGTCTTCTGGTGAACGAGAACAAGGCAAAGTACCTTCATGCAAAAAATAAAGACTCTTTTGAAGTAGTGATGGATTTGTCTACCTAGTAGCCAGCATCAACACCAAATATAATGTCAGCCGGGAGCTCTGGCGAAAAAAACTGTCGCTAGAGGGTGCCTAAAAGTCTCTCATCATATCAGTCATTTTGCATGGGGCAAAAACGAGTACTCTGTCGTATGGAGAAGAGAAGGTTTTTGGGGATTCAAGGGTAGAGTGACGAACCGTATGAGCTTTTTAACGGAATTTTCATAGTTAAGTGCGTAAAAGTACCAATACTGCGCTTCCTTGAGCATGTTGTATACGTTGATTAAGATCCTTCAACTCAGCATCCATCGGTGGAAAACGAAAGCAAGGGCGCCTACGAATAAAATGGAGGCACCAAGTGTAGAAGGACGTAAAGTAGAGCGGCAACTGCTGAAGTTTGTTGGACATGAAAAATAATATTTGTGCCAAATAAACCGATTAACATTGACATTTATTTACTTTCACTTAATTTTGGTTTTTGATTACTTTCATGACGAATTTACCTACATATTTTCTTTGCCACATTTGTCATCACAAAACAATTGGCAGTCGTTAACAATTCCAATTGCCTGCGATGACCAATTCATCAATTATGTGTATGTTTGTGTGATCGCATACTAGGGGTCATTGAGCGCATGTTCGAATGTACGTTGATATGTACGTAAGCAATGTGATCTACTCTGATGCCTCGCAGTGAAAGAAAAGTGCATTCAAATAGTTTACCTTTTTCATTTCCACAGGAATTTTGAATTTACTTGCGTTGAGTTTTGCATGGATTTCTCCTTAAAGGGATCGAATTTGTTGATTGTAGTGCAAGAATTTTTTACAGTGACTTGATTTGAATTTAGGTTGAGGAAAATTGCATGGGGAGATTTTCAGTTTTCATTTACTTCCACATATGCAGCAAATAGTATTGCGTGCATGACCACTGGCATGCGCATGAGGTCAACTGAAATTTTATGAAATTCATGTTTAATATATGTATACGATTATGAAGACGAAATGCCATTTCTGTTTAGTTAAACCAGAAACGAAAACAATTTCAATTCGCTACTTAAATTATATCATGAATTCGTCACCATTTCATAACTCCTAAATAAATCATATTTATGCATATTCGTATAACTACTTATGCGTGGGATTGCAGCCCTTCAAGTTGCATGCAGCACAATGTTTAATTGCACAAACGCTTGCATAAAGATAACCAGCTACTGGTTTGCCATTCGAAAAATTCAAGATTTGCCGAGTGAGGCAAGTGAGCGCGTTACCTTTCTAGCTACATATACAATTTCAGTGTTGCATAAGTAAGTACCGGTTCCCGCTGAAATACTTATTATCAAAATCATATGGCCTACTGCCACTGCAATATGCCGTAGGAACGTGAAGTACAAGCGAGAGTTAATACATACATATATATACATATATATATACATAACTATGTATGTATTTACCTGCAATAGCGAGAAATCCACTTTGATTAGCCGCTGCTTGGAGCGCGGCGTTGTGTGCGGCTCCGCGTTCTCTGTCATTTTCAGCGCATTAACTGTTGCATGTTGCATTGTCGCTGTAGTTGTTGTTGCTTTTGATGTTGCAGACGATGAATTGATTAGTGTTGCTGTTGTTATTGCTGGTGTTGTTGACGCCATTAGCGTTGTGGTTGGTGGGAGCACTGCAAGTGAAAGGAAAAGGAAATGTTTGCAATTTTATTTGGGATAAATTAGGTAATGCGAATAAGCCATCGTAGTTATAGTTCTTTTCTAAGTCGAAATTTGAAAACAAAATTTTTAAATTTCGGCACTGTCCTCTTTTTGATTTCGGTTTGCATATCGGAAAGATGCTTAATCCAAGCGATTAAAAGGTTTTCAAAAGTGGCCAGTTTCAGGAGGCAATGCCAAAAGACAGAGTATATTCATATTACCCAGATGGAAAAGTTATAGTAAAAGACCATAGGTCGCATTGATTATAAGCCAGAAGAAATCTGGATCATTTCAATTTCCTGATCGTTTATCATTAGGGTATACTGTCCACTTACGGAAAAATTTTTCATTTTCTGTGCAAGAAAAGTTCGTGTCTTAAATATTTCGTTGACTTCATTTGCTTAGTTATGTTTCGGTCCTTTTTTCGATTAATTTTAATATCCAAACATTTCAAACTAATGGAATGGTATGATAAAAAACTATTTTAACGCTACCTTTCTTCGCGAGTAGTTCAGAAAACATTTGTTCCTGTTTCGTTCTCTGTTAGAAAATTCCTGAGACTCTAGTTCAGAAATTGTTTGTCGAGAGAAAGTTCCTTAGGTCTTTGTTCCCGTTTTGTTCTTTACCAAAACGCTCCGGAGAGTTTTGTTTCCATTTTGTTCTATTAGAAATGTTACCGAAAGTGATGGGGTGCAATAACTCCATACGCAATAAAGCCATATGGTCTTATTTACATTTTGTTTTGGAAATAAAACCAGATGACGTTGTTTCCAATCCAGAAGTGAAATAAAGTCATATTAAAAATTGCAAAAATTAGTAATAAAGTCATAATTGAAATTACAACCGCTTGTACTAAAAGTGCATGTCTGACCATACTATTTGTGGATCACATTTTTCCTATTATTTGACCGTGAGCGTGTTCCCTTATTATTCAGTCCGGATCTAGAAGAGAATAGTCGTTTAGTTTATCAGGAACAATGGAAGAGAATTCGGGAACAACGTTCTAATGAATAAGTGAACAGAAAAATGTATTTCGAATGTTCGGAATGTGAATAAAGAAACTCTCGCCGTGTGTTAAAATTGTTACGGTAATTTTCCAGTTTACGGAGACTTGGGGAAAATCATTGGTAATGATCAAATTATTTCGTCAAATCAAATAACGCATTTCAAACCCCCAGTATTATGAATCCGGGTACGGAAATTAACTTTTGTTTAATATTTCAAAAATTATCGGTAGAAAATAAAGTCCGAACGTCGTTTACGTATGTACATATGTAATTTAAATTGATACATATTATTACTAATAAAATGAAATAAATAATTATTTAATATTTCCGGATTTATTGGATATTAGAAAATAAATATATGTACTTATGTAAGTTTTAATTTTGCGAGTGCACATTTGTACGCTTCCCAGCGCCGCGCTCGCGACTTCCACGTCCCGCTGCACTGCTCTCGCGCAACCATCCCAGGTATACTAGAAATCCACACCATGGGACATTGTTTTTGATTGTCATTAATCTTCGAGTGAATATTCGTTTTTCGATTTTGCGACAAAGGAGCGCAAATTTAATTGGAGGCGAACATTGAAAAAGCCTTCAGGGAACCAGTTTTGAGTCCATAAACGACCCAATTACCTACAAACAGGAATTTAAGTAGCTCTGGCACAACTCATCGGCTTACGCCTTGGTAAAATAACTATACCCATATGTTCAGAGATGAAGGGAGCATCAGTTACCAGATACGCGTTCAGAGGCGCACTGAATAGCGGGGTTCTCGCCCCGCTCCAATAGAATCTGATAATAAACACTTTACTAATTCCAACTCACTTAATGGAGCATTCAGTCGCAGATAGTGCATTGGATTTACTCAGCTACTAAGGCTCTGGAAATCGTACCCAACATTCCTCGACTGACCTTTATGTTAAACTAAATGCGAAAAGTAATGATATTAGGCTAAATGCGATTTGCCGATTCCAAAATTCTGGGCACCTGACTGAAAAATTGCAAGCCCTCTAGAATTTGAAAACTGCTTCAACACAAGAATTCCCTCGATATAGTATGGGAATAAATTTAGATTCTGAAAACATACTCGCACTGTACCTCATTAAATACCGACGGACCCAAATGAAACAAAATAGTTGAAAGTGGTGTATTATTTCTTAAAATAAGTTTTGGACTGCCAGGTCATTTTAAGCTGAACTTGCAGCCATGGAGGAGGCCATTCAGTGGCTGATTACCTGAGATCCAGTTCTGCAGTTATTATTTTTTTCATTTCATTTCATTTCATGGCCAAGCCGCCATTAGTTCTTTAGAAAGTTCTGTAACGTCGCCAAAAATCACTGTAGTACGTAAGAACAGTGTAAAAAACGGCAGCTATGCCCACAAAAAGGTAACTCGGTTTCCAGATCACAAAGATATTTTGGTTAGGAGCGAAGCGGGTGAACTTGCAAGGCTTATTGAGTCTCTTACAGATGGCACGCTGGATTAACAACCGAACCCGCAATCTTCTACAATTAGAACGCGCCCAACTCCGGCTGGAAATAGCACTCATTAAGGGCCTTTGCCCTTTAGGAATGCAGGGCATCAGAATGGGCTTTCCTGCAAATGACTACTGCTGCGGCTGTGATGACGATGAAGATCTAGAGAGCATCGAACACTACCTCTGTTCAGGCCTGGCTGGATTTGGTAGCGGTGTCTCAACCAGTAATTTTTCTATTTTCTACAGGACCTAAGCTAAACGGTTGGAATTAACATTAAGCCAAATAAAACCAAACCGTATCACAGTGGGTATTTTTGGGCTTGAGTGTGCCTTCATCTGGGACTTGGATGAAGGCAGCTGCCACAATCTAACCTTACCTATGGTTTGCTCACTCATTTGGACAACGAAGTGTCGATCTTTAAAGCATTTCAGATGCGGCGGTTGATTGTTGGATAATGATACGATGTTCAATATGAGATTCACACTGTATTATTATTTATTGTAGGCATTGTGCAACTTATGTCGTACGAATCGCAATGAGTGTGTCCTCCATAAAAATATTTTATACATTATCCGGCGGTGGTTTATTTTATTATAAGCTATTTGTTTACTCATAACTTGGTATTGCAGTCTTCTAACCCAATCAAATGATGTCGGGATGGCCCTGCAAGTCACTTACCGTTTTAATGACTAGGCTTGCCGGTTAACGAAAAACCGTAAGACAACAATTTTGTAATAAAACTAACGCTTTAGGAAACAAGCACATATTTACATGTATTTTGAGTCATTAATAACCCAGCAGGGAAACCGCGGACTAGTGAATCAAATTTCTAGTTCCGTACTAGGTCTTTATCGCCAAAAAGGAACTAGTCCGATAGGAACTATATCCCCACCAGTCCAAAATCGGCGAAAAGTGGTACTTTTAAGAAACTAATTTTTTCAGTTTTTTTCACTACAAATCTATATCTAAAGTGACAAATTTAGAAATGGTTCGGAACTATAGATAAAGGGATGCAGAACGAACTAGATCCTATTTGTCGAATTTAGAACTATTTCGGAACTGTCGAATAAGGGATGCAGCGGGGGGCTTATTTACTTTACAAAGATATGTGTTCGGCGGCTTTTTCGTTCAAATACGCTTCTATTCTGTGCTTCGCAGATGCTATTTCATAGTTTGGTAATACAAAACAAAGCTTTGTGTTAACATATTAACATCTTGGGGCCATCTGGAATCTAACCAATAACAGCGAGCACCTCTGCAAAGTCAGCTACAGTAAGGTAAGTAAACGTACATTTCTTACAATCATTCAAACAAATTAAATTTCAAATTGAAAAAACTTTTCTTTGAAAATAATGTAAAATCGCACACGGAAGAACCGAAAAGATTGAAAAATCATGATACTTTTTTCTTTCGTCTGTCGATTTTAGAACTGGTTCAGAACTATAGAATTTAGGACTAGTTCGGAACTATCGAAAAAGGGATGCAGCGGGGGCCAATTGACACTTCCTAGGACATCGCCATGTTGAATTCGCCAGTTGCTTGCATGCAAAAGAGATTTATCGCGAACCAGTACTGGGACTAAATGTACTAGAAGCGCCCCAGTTCAGAACTAGAGATTTTCCCCACAGGGAATATGTATGTACATACATATGCACACACGCACATGCGATTGTTTACATCGTAAATGTGTTTGCTTGTTTGTCCCCTAAGAAGTGACCAACAATGCATATGATTTACATTTAAGAAAAAGTAGAAATAGTGCAAAACCTGCTTGACTTAGTTCTTAGGTTAGTTTTCTGCATTAGCGGTACTCCTGTTTACTTTGATTAAGACCTTTTTATAGTCATGGGCGTAAGCGTAAATGAAGTATGTAAATCTAAAAAGCAGTTCTTTTGTTTAGGGGTACCAATGGAGATGGTACTTGTCTGGAATACCGTCTATGAAACATACTACATATGAATGTACATATGTATTTATAAAGCTACATAAATTGTCTGATGACGATGGTCTTTAAAAAGCGCTCAACACTCTTCGCAAATGAAGGTTGATGACTTTGTCAAAAGGTGTAACAGAAACATTTGGATTGCCAAGTAAAAAATAATGACAAATAACGTTTAAGTTTCCACCTAATTAAGGCGAATATACATTCGATGTCTTCATGTGTACACAAGCACGCATTATTGCATGGGTATGTTTGTATGTATGTATGGACATATGCACATAAATGTGAATAACCTGCACTTAATTAAAAATCAATACGCATTTGCTGCGTCTTCAAAATTATTGGCTCCATATAAAAATGCATACATACATATGTAAATGTCATTACCTTAATAGAGAAAGGCCCGAACTCAACCAGCGAAAGCCGGTAGATTACTTACTAAAATCATATTAGAACTTAGAGACTTAGAACTTCATTTTCTATTAAGTTTTTATTTTTAATTTTTGTCAGTTTGTATGAAAACATATAGGGCCTTTCTATACATATTA